TTAGTTGGATGAAATGAAGGAGGTGAGGAGGAATTGGCTGCAGCCTCGCAGTCCATGTCCCTTGCCGGCAGAGACACCTCCCACAGACCAGGTTGTTCAAAGCCCCACTCAGCGTGACCTTGAATGCTTCCAGGGAAGGGGGCATCCACAGCCTCTCTGGGCAACCTGTTCCAGTGTCTCACTGTCCTCACAGCGAAGAATTTCTTCCTGATACCTAGTCTAAATCTACCTTATTCCTGTTTAAAGTCGCTTCTCCTTGTCCTGTCACTACATGCCCTTATAAGAGTCCCTCTACAGCTTTCCTGTAGTTCCCCTCCAAGTATGGGAAGGACACTATAAGGTCCCCTTGGAGCCTTCCCTAGGCTGAAGAGACACAGATCTCTGCAGATCTTTCCTCTTCCACTTCTTACATTTTTTGGGTGGCAGTGGGACTATAGCCATTGCCAATAGAGTCTGAGGCAAAACAGTCATTGAGCACCTCAGGTTTCTCTGTATCTCTTGTGACCAGATCTCCAGTTTCCTGCAGGAGAGGGCATGCATCTTCCCTGGCCTCCCTTTAGTTGTTAATATACCTGTAGAATTTCTTAGAATTTCTCCTTGTTTCCCTTTATGTCCCTAGCTAGATTTAATTCTGTGTTGAACCTTTCCTAACCTGATCCCTGGTTGCTCATATAATTTCTGTGTAGTCCTGCCAGGTAGCCCGCTCCTGCTTCTGCTTCCCATAGACTTTCTTTTTCCAAGTCCAACCTGTTGATCCATGGAGGCCTCCTGGCATTCTTTTCTACCTTCCTTTTTCTCAGGATGCACTGCTTCTGAGCTTAGAGGAGATGGTTCTTGAATGCTGACCAGCCTTCTAGAGCCTCTCTTCCCTCCAGGGCTTTCTCCCACGTCACCATGCAAGGCTTTCCCTGAAGAGGTCAAAGTCTGCTCTCCTGAAGTCCAGAGTAGCAAGCTTGCTGTGTACCCTGTTTGATGTCCTAGGGATCTTGAAATGCACCATTTCATGATCAATGCAACCAAGGCTGCCTTGAGCTTTACACTGCTCGCTTAGCCTCTCTTTGTTGGTCCAGCACAGCACTTCTTCTTATGGGTTCCTGTACCACTTGGAAGAGGAAGTTATCATCAATGCATTCCAGAAATCTTTTCTATTCCTTGTTCCATGCGGTGTTGTCCCTTCAGCAGATATCAGGCTGGTTTAAGTCCTCCATGAAGACCATGTTTTGTGAATGTGAAACTACTCCCGTCTTTTTATAAAAGGCCTCATCTACTCAATCTTCCTGGTCAGACAGACCCCCATTGCAATGTCTCCTTCCCCTGCTGTCCCTTTAACCCTAACCCATAAGCTTCCTGTCAGCTCCTCATCCATCCCCAGGTGGAGACTGGGGATGGACTCCAGTTGGTCAGTGATGTAGAGGCTGATTTACCAATGGGAGTTCCCTTATCCTGCTCCTTAGGTGCTGCCTTAATGGCCTGTGATCCAACTCTGGGCCCAGGGCACTCATTATGATCATCACCCTCAAAGTGGAATGGTTCGATCCCCTGGTAACTCTAGTTTAAAGCTCCCCGATTAAATTGGAAAGCTTGTAGTCAAAGATGGTCTTGCCCTTCTCTGAGAGATGAACCCCATTCTCCACCAGAAGACCAGTTTTCTCTGAACTACTTCTGTGACATAAGTAGCCAAAGCTACTCAGTACTGACTTGGTACTTTATATTGACTTGATACTTCCTATTGCTTACAATTCTGTTAAAATATCACGTCTCAAAGTCTAAAGCTTTTATCTAGCTGAAGTCTGTTTTTGTTTTGTTTTTTTTTTTTTAATGCATCAGTCCCTTCTGGGTAGATGAGATGACAGCTAATGTCTTGTGCTTGAGAAGATAGCTATTTGACTTTTTAAATAAAAACATCTCCTTATTTCTTTCATTTTCAAAATTCTCTCCGTAGATATGGTGTTAAATTTTTGTTTCTTAAGCATTAAAAAAAAAAAAAAAAAAAAAAAAAAAAACCAAGAAATTTCATAGAAGTTAGGCTCATAAATGGTTGTGGTAAAATAAAATAGTTTCTAATATTGTGAAGCTCAACTAAGTTAACAACGAAAAACAGCTGATCCTTGGGCAATTTACTTTTACTACCTACCTACAGAAAAATCTAGTAAGCTTAAGAAAACAATGTATTGGCAAACTTAGCTACTATAAGTTAACTTTTGCTTATTCCTCAGTATCATTAATTTTTATTAAGGCAGCTCATTCTGCTGAGATTTGACCTTTGTTTTTCATTATAAAGTATCAATTTTTAATATGCATATATGTTTAAAAGAAAACTACTACTTAAATGCTCTGTATTAAATTCAGTTCAGCATGGGCCTTTCTAGTAATATTGTAGAGAGATTTTTATCCTGGTCATGAAAGTTCAGAATATTTACATCATAGTCTTGTATCCTTGTGCAAGCTGTAAAAAAAAAAAAAAAAAAAAAAAAAAAGGACTTTGTAAAATGAAGTTGTGCCTCTGACTCCATTGGCTGTTCCTGTTGCTGCAATGAATCTTCACCACATCCTCCAATGAGTGCAAAGTTATAAAAACTCTAGACAGATGGGAAACTCATATTTATAGCAAAATACCCAGGTTTTGATAAGCGCAATTGCAGAGAGCAGCAGATGATGTTAACAGTTAAAATGTAGGGAAAGCAGCCTGTTCAGGAAAAAGATGAAAGCTCATGTGCATTCTGAGGCAGTAGGTCATCTAATGATGGTCTTACATGTGAGCGTTTCTGTGAATCAGAACCATCAGTGACACAGTGCTTAAAAAGCATTGTTTCATAGCGGTAAAAATAAATAAATATAGAAAAAGAAATTTCTTTGAAAGCTCTCAATGGGTTGAGAGCCCTTGCAAGATCCACCTCTCATTTCTCAGTTTCTGAAGGGTTTACAAAGGCCACTGCCTTGAAAGAGTCCAGAGCAGTGCAGAAGTGTAAAAAGCTATTAGGGGGTGGAAAAGGGAGTTGCTCGTATCTGGGCAGGGATCAAGTTCATTGTTGCTACAGAATGATTTTCCTAACTTCAGTGTTATGCTTGCTTTGGGAATGTTGTAATAATTATCCAATGCTGAATACTTGCACGCATCTGAATCTAGTCTCTTCAGAGTAGTGGTTTGGGAAGGATCAGTGTTTGGTGTCAGAGGGAAGAACTGTTCGTAGAACCTGTTATTTGCCATCACTGCAGGTAGCTATCCAACTGGCAGGTTATTTTACTATGGAAAGCTGTTTTACTGGATGAAATTCCCTGTTTCCTAATATCCATAGCTTGGGATTGGCCTCATGGTTTTCTCTTTGTGGTTCGGCTGCAGACAAGCAGAAGGCAGAAGTTTTTTAGTTCTGAAGTTCTGTTTTCTCAAGGGAGAACTTGGCAGTAGATGTGCATGTGTGCATGTGCGCACCTATAGTGCAGCTGAAGTGTAATAAAATAGTATTCCACAAAACAGACTGAATATCTTGTTGTTTTATGCTGAAGGACAGAAAAGAAAATATTGTTTCCAGGTAAATAAGCTTATAGTTTTCTTTTGCACGTCTGTGTGTGATCAGCCCAAACTTCTGCGTACCCATATTTGGGAGCTTGGGGCAGCCAGAGAAATCTCACAGCAGGCTGATGCATGACTGCAGGGATGCATAAGGAAACTGACAAGTTTCAGTGTTCAGAGCTGGAAAAAAATGTTGGGAAAAAAGCCTACATATAAATGTATTGCATGAAACAAGTTCTTATCTGTGTAAGAAGTTTCTATGTATCTCTTGCAGAGACCAGAGCGTTTCAGGAGAAAGCTACATGTTTTCCATAAAGAAGTTTTTCAGATATAACAGCAAAATATTCTCATTTGCTTGATATTCTGTTGATAATGAATATCCTCCACTGTTCTTTTTGTCTTTAATGTCTTAATTTTGTTGTCTTAAACTTTCATTGCGTTATGCCACCACTGTCCTTATTAGAACAAGACAGAAGCTGTCTCATTTCATCCTAGCTGTACAGGGAGAGGTGACTGTGCGTTCCTGCACTCCAAGAACAGTTTGTCAAGAAGAAAAGAGGAATGTGATATTGATGCCTGCAGTTTAGGGAGGATGTTGAAGTGCATAAATGAATGACAAAAAAATTTTCTTTAGAGACTGCAGAAAACTCTTACTGTGGTATGTAAATGTTTGTGGGGAAAGAACTATGACTAATAAGGGTTTCCTTAGCAAAAAGTATACGAGGACCAAGCTGGTCTGTTAAGGCAAACACGTAAACTGGAAGCAAAGCAACCTAGACAAGCTGTTTGTATTTGGGGTGTGGGGAGTCAAGTAAGGGTTTCTTTGTCATTATTTCTATCAATATTTTCAGGTAAGGGCAGGTTGTTTTTATAAGAGGATGTGCTCTTAGAAATACACGCTAACCTTGCTTTCTGTAGGAATAACTGAAAGCAATTTAATGCTTTGTGATAAATTAGACTTAAGAAGATTGAAGGAAAGGCATAGTAATTCAAAGGAATATAAAAATACAAAGACTTTAGATGTAGTTTTTGGTTTGGTTTTGTGCTTAATGGAGTGAAAAGGAATTCTGTCTAATCTGAGGCCTGTGGTGGTGAGCATAAGAATTGATGAGCTTCTGTGCAGTAAGTTGGACATAAAAATGCTCTTGTCATTAGAACAGAGAAATGAATACTAGGGGAAACAAGTCTGTGGAAGTTGTAGGAATATTTTCAAAGTAGTTGACTTGCGCCATGAGAAAAGGGGGTTGAGCTGGACGACCTCTGCGGTTTCTCCCAGCCTTTTTTTCCTTGGAGACCGTACTGCATATCATAGCTCTTCATTTCATCTTTGGCTTCCTGAATCATTGTTTATCTTTGACCCTGCTCAACTACGTCTGGATCTTTCTCTGACTGTCTTACACAGCTGTTCCTGAGCATCAAACTCAAATGATATTCTACATGTTTCATTTCGAAACAAATTGTTAAGATGTACCATATTCTTTTTAGGTCCTCCAGGGAAAAGAGGTAAGCGGGGCAGAAGAGGAGAGACTGGTAAGTTTTCACCTTCCTAAATTGCATTACTGTTTGATGCTTGGGTGTTTTTGCAAAGTTACATACCAGCATGCATTCATGTTTATTTTCACTGCTTTCTGTGCTCTGAAAGAGAGCTCTGAAACTTCTTTTCTAGAAATATGTGACCCTTGGCATAGACCTGGTGGCCCTCTGGATACATGTCTAGTCTCTAGTGTCCCTTCTTTGTAGTCACACTTCATAATGGTTGGCATAGTACAATTGGCAACATTAGTGGTAACTGTCAAATCATTCCAGTGTCTTCTGAGGTTAGCATAGATCAGAGAAACTCTGGTAGTCAGCAGTTGAAATACTGTAAGTCAGCATTGCATTGGGCCTTCCTGGATTGAGACGAAGGGAGTAAGATTGTACGTACAATGTAAGTTGTAAATGTAAATGTAAGTAACATTTTAAATTTCCTTGGTTGTCGTGTCTGTTCTGCTAGTAAGGAAAACATTCTAATCAACTTGATCTCTACAAATTCATTAGTAGCTCTTCTTAACCCTTTAAATTGTCATTTATCTGGCTCTTTCTGTATTTTCAGAATCAGAAAACTGAAAACAAGTCCTGCCAAAAGTTAATGTAAATCACCTTGATGTGTTCATTTGAGATTGGATTAATATTTACTTAGAGACAAATGCTATGCTACAGAAATATATTCTGTGGTTAAAGACTCTTACAAATGTTCCTGGCAATTACTTTGCAGTATGCTTGTTTGTTCATTTTATGTCTCAAATAAACACACATTAAACTATTAACAAAGGAAATTGATCTCTCCCATTTAAAAACAGACCTGCACTTTAAAATGCTGTTTAAGAATATTTACCAGTATAAAGAAATCACTTTAGTTACAGGATAATAAAATTGCATTGTTAAAAACAAAAGGCTATCAATATTAAAAGCAATCTCAGAATACAGCTGCTGTGGTTTTATACTCCTTTTTCACTTTGCTTTATTCAGAAATTAGAGAGAGGCATAAAAGCTAATGAAATGCCATTGGTTTGAGAGCTGCAGCTGCTCAGCTTAAAAAGACTGAAATAGTAGATTTGATTTGTAGCCCTTTGATAATGTTTCCAAGAACTGCCATACAAAAGTCTTTGAGTCTAAATAATTGAAAAAATGTGCAAATATCACTTCATGAAGTGTGACATTTTAACAAGGAATGTTTTATACGTGTGCCTTGAGAAAGGAAGGTGATGAAAAGAAAGTTCAGCGCTGTCAGGTGGCCACTGAAACCTCCCCTTATAGGCAAGTTAGAAGACTGGAGGTTGCTGGTGCATGTATGTCTTGACTAGATGCCAAGGTTAAATGCCAAGGGTACTTTGTGCAATTTTGCAGCCAAGCTGTGATGAGATGCCTAACGGTGTGGCTAACTGAAAGTGGTGATGTGGTTACGTTTGTTTTGTGTGGAGTCTGACAAAACAAACCGTAGTCCATGGCTGGTATTTTTGGCCTGGCATAAAATTGCATGGAAATGGATGGAGAAACAACTTTCATAAGATTGCATGACCTTAGTTCAAGGATTGACTTCTTTGGTAAGGTAAGAGCATGCATTTGAGCATTAGCTGTATTTACATGTTGCAAAGTACAGCCAAAACCAAAAGAACTTGAGTGGGAAAATGTGTACGATGCATCAGCAGCATTGCTGGCTTACAATCCTGAAACCTTGTGTTTGGGTTTGTACATTTGTGTCTGTCTTTAATAATTTCATAAGCTTATAAATTCTTTTTTGTCTGTCTTTTTTTCCCCTCCTCTTTTCCCATCCTCCCTCCCCACAGGACCTCCTGTAAGTACAGTGATATGTTGTTGGTTCTTCCAGAATCAGGGAGAAATCGATGTTAGATACTGTTTTGTTACCACCACAATAAACTGATCGTGTATCAACAGGAGGGAATCTTGATGTTTATACTTACACAGCATAAACACTCGCTTATTATTTTGGAGCTGCATAACTTAGCCAGAAAGTTCCTTAAGGAAATTTTATCTAAAACTATAAAGCTTTACATTCAGCACTCCAGATAACAGTTTGGATCGCAATTCCATGTAAGTACATTATATTCATTTGCTTATGACTTGGTAACAAAAATTTTACTACAGTATAAAAATAAGTGAGTATGCTTTCTTAAGTCTAGACTCAGTCACTCTGCCTTTTACCCGGTAGCAGCTTGCTCTGCCATTGTCACAAATCCTTGGGGTCAAAACTCCTTGTTCTTTGGAAGTATATGGGCCGTCCAGATCATTGTGGTGTAATTGCTACTAAAGCCAGTAAGTACTTGTGTGAAATGAATAGAAAATAAGACTGTTCAGTTTAGTATTTGGCTGAATCTCATGCTGATCTTGTTTACAAGAAAAGTTTCTCAGTCTTTGTGTTATTCGTTTTGTGGTATGTTCCCAGAGTAAGTTGAAAGTCAAACTTGAAGAACAGTAAACACATGTATTTCAAACATTTATGTTTGTTATGCCATCCATATGGTGTGAAAGTGTGATCGCCAAAGCAGTATTTTTTTATTCTGCTTGAAGAGTTTTTTTTTTTTTTCCTATATTGGATCAGGTTATCTGTGTATTTTATCCTACAGATTTAAAAATAGTAAACTAAAACATTGGATTTCTGCGATGTGAGCTTATGACATAAGTGTAAGCTGTCTGTACTGGGCAGTGATTACTTATCTTTGAAAGATAAGACCATGTGCTCAGCAGTTCATAGTGGCAAATTGATTTAACAAGCCATCAATGAAAAGCCAGGCTTAATATATAATGGTGCTGCTTATTTGAAAGAAATATTAGCTTTCTCAATTTCTTTTGCAGTCTTCCCATGAAACACAAAGAACAACCATAAATCATGATACAAATGACTTTCCTGTAGTAATAATAGCGAGAGTTCAAAATACGCCTCATTATTAATGTCTCCAACTTCAACTCTGTTTCAGTGTAGGTTCCTTTAAGGAAAAAAAAAGTCTTGATTGCGGTAGTATTAATACAAACCTGAAATAGCTCAGAAGGCTGACCCATTATTAAGAAATCTCCTTTATAATCCTGAGTCTCATGTATAAAACTGCCTTACAGTACTTCAGTAAGTACTACAGTACTTCGTGCTGAAAGTCAGTAAGGGTTTAACTTTCTACAAACCATTTAAAAAGGTGGTATCTTTAATTCGCTTTTTGACAGGCAGGATCTGGCTGGGAGCAACTGTTGCAAACTCAATTACTGTTTTCACCTGTGATACTGTGGCAATACTTTTCATTCAAAATAGCAAGCATTTGTATATGCTGCATGGTACTCCATAGAATTTAGTTGTACTCTGTATTCTCAAAAGATACTGCAGTTATTTTATCTGTATAGGATGGCTGTGTCACATATGATAACAGTCAAACGCTGGGGCTTTCAATTTTTTTTATGATGAGTTATAGCATTCTCAAATTTCTTCTTTGGCACCTATGTTCTAGCGGTAGCCTATGTATCTGTTATCTTACTGATTAAGCTCTACAACATTTTTTCTTCTAGCTACATATTGCCCTTCAGTCTATCTATATGGATAATACTCTTCATAATAACAGGAATTTCACTGCACATCAAAAGTAGTCGGTAGCCTTGTGCTTAAAACATTTAAGTTAAGATACCTGACTTCAATTGCCAAATCCTTTTTTTCGCAGCATAGTACCTATTTCATATTTGTTGGCTTGTAATATCTTCACATAGCATAAAGTAATGGACGTACAAATTTTAATTTGTCAGTAATGTATGCTTCGTGGTTTTGATGTCATATGTCATGGCTGTGTTGTTAATGTGTGTCATACCATTTCATCTCATTCAACCAGGGTCTACCAGGGCGAAATGGCTATCCGGTAACTCAACATATCTTTATGATAGCTTGTATCACTCTAAAATCATGTTGCTAGTTTGTTGTTGTTCTTTTCCTTTCTTTTTCGTTTGTTTGTTTTGCTTTATTACTGTCAAAAGGACTGTTTTCCTGCTTCTCAGATGCCTACAAAACATAAGACTTTCCTTAAAAAAAAAACAAAACAAAACAAAAAAACAACAACCCCTCAGTGTTAATGATTTATAAATGCAATGTACTACTTGTTTGACACCATACATATTTTGTGTTGAGCATCTTCATTCTTGCATACAAAATTAGTTTTTCATTGGAATTAAAAAATTCTTCTAACAGGTTATTGAGCCTCAATTTTCTGTATTAGAAAGCCGTTCAGCTGGCATATGGAACCTCTAAATCCTTTCTTTCAATAGTGTCCTGCTTCTCTTGGCCACCTTCTTCAATGCATTTTGAGCAGAATAAAATGCTATTACAGAGGTCTTAACAATTGGCTGCATAGTCTCTCACAGACTAATTTCACAGTAACGTATGTACTTTTCTGTCAGATTCATTCGTATCTTTGAGATTTGTTGCCTGAAAATTCTAATTATGAAATAATGCATCTTTCTAAAATTGACTAACAATGTATTTATTTTCCTTCAAGTAGTCAGGCAAGCTGAATGCAGTCTCACAGTCAATAACTGTATGCCTAATGTCATGTGTTTATCAGAAACCAAGTGACAAAATGTGTTAGTGGTTACATTTCAGAGACAGTATGTATGTAGAACTTAGTGACTGTTCAGGCAGAAAGAGATCTTACCTGAAGCACTTGCATTGCATGGAAGGCCTAGAGTGACATACCTATATAGTCCAATCAATTGAATAATTTTTCAGCAACTTTTAAAAATGTTTTTTGTTGGTAGGTATACACTGCTTACATAACTTGAAAACCTGCAGGTGCGGATCATTTGAATGCTTTTCCCAGGGTGTCTGCTGTAGTTGCAGAGTTTAGTGAGAGATGTTACCAATGAAATATCACCTAGTGCGTAACTTTATGATTATAAGTAGCTGAAAGTCAGCTGGTGAGGAGCTGATCATTAGTATTAAGAAACCTGCCAGAATGTACTGAAACCATTAAGTTCAGAATGCACATTATAATGATACTTAGAGTGCTTAATCTGCATCAGTGTGTGTGTTTAAAAGAAGATGCAGCGAAAAGCTTGACATAAAATACAAACAAACAAACCCTTTCTTGCTCATCATCTAACTGTGAGCTTTGTACTGAGATTTGGATTTAAAAGAATAAAAGACTCCCAGGGACAGAAAAACCGCCCTTGGGTTGCTGGAAATTAATGACCTTAAAATAACAAAGTTATGTTGTGCGGAGCACAAAAGCCTCGTAGACTTAACTTCTTGGCAAGTTAAGAAAGTGATTGAATGCATCAGCGGACTCTTGCACGTTTTGAAGGCCCTACGGGGACAGTTTGAAAATATTATTTTCATTAGCGCCTGAACACCCAGTGCTTTGTCCTGATCCAGCTATTTTCTTGAAGAGGCTTGCTGTGGGATCTGAAGACAATGGAGACTCAAAGCAGTGTTGCTGAAATGGCTGGTTTTAATAGCGGCATTGTTATGGGCAAATTTTAGAGTGAATGCTTTTCTCTGCATACATGTGGCCATCGATGTGTGCATATGCACGTGTGCCTTCTTCAGCAGAGCTTAGCATCTTCTGAACACTTCTTTCTCTCACTTCACCTGAAGATGGCTAGTAATAGAATTCTTCAGCACTGTCCTCGGCTGGCTGCTCAGACCTTTTCAGTTACAACCACGTCCTGCTTTGAAAGAGAAATATTTAACAGCAAGTGTGATGCACTCCAGAAGTACTTATACGGTCCTGTAAAGCTCTATGAAAAGACTGTTCGTGTTTAAAGTTTTATCTCTAGAGTCCTATTTAACTTCCGCAGAAGTGTTATTGCTTTAATCTTTATTAGATTTTCTAGGCTATTCTATGAGGATAGTGATGCATACCTACCACATGAAACCTGAAAAAGCTCTCAGCTGAATAAGCCAAAATGTAACACTGTAGTTGTATAAAAGCTAGCGGCCGTTTTCTCCAAGCCTTAGGTTTTGAGTGTTTGCATGCGTTCTAATTTAACGTTACCTTAAGACATAGTAATATTAATAGGAATTTCAGTGAGACATCTAGAGAGGGATGCAGTAGCAAAAGTCAAGAAAAAAAGCTGGACATGCCTCCAGTGTGTAACAGTTGCGAAGGAGCTTATTAGGCAGTGATGTATTGATTTTGTAAGACACGACAAAAAGCCTGCAGTGTTATGGGTCCTTTTTTCCTCATTAAGGACTATGGAAAAAAATGGAGGAATCAAATTCAGAGTTTTAACTCTTCCAACTTCAGTTTAAAATTGGAATAGGCTGTATCTCCCTAAATAAAAGAGAACAACAGTATGGGTAAATATTACAGAATGAGAAATGGGTCTCTTATGACCATTTCAATTAATAAATAAGGCTGGAATTGCAACTAAAGACTAAGTTCAGCTGTTTGGGATTGCAGTGAAGTAACTATGTACACAAGCGTACATGGTGTTCTGTGAGGGACAAAGAGCTATTAAAAGGATGCCTAAATTGATGGTTCTTCTCCTGTAACAGTAAAACAGTATAACTTTACCAACCCTGAGATGCAGAGCTTTGGGATCTCACCTATCTCTTCATTTTCAGTTTTCCTAGATCTTGAAATATTCACTTAACTCTGATTGTTGAAGATAAACTGGCTCAGAACAAGAAGAAAAATTATTCTTAGCCTGATACAATTCCTTCTAGCTTAGAAAATGTCACTGGCATTATGAATCTGATTTTTGTAAATGTAAAGATAGTCTTAATATATCATAAATCAAGTGTGTATCCTGTTATGTAGAGAATTCCAGGTTGCTTTTAGAAAGCTCTAATTTCTGTTTCTATAT